TCTCATTCTTGATAGAGAGGAACGTTGGTTTGAGAGAGGAGTAAAAGAAGCCATTTTTGTGAAGAAAGACCGTCCATCATTAAACAGAGRTGGAGGCCTCCGTTTTCAGTTGTCCCCCTCCTACAGCGCTGCTATTGCCGGTATCACTCCACCCCCTGTTAACAATAAGTGTTAATTAGGTGTCAACGATAGCCATGTGATGTATCAGTCACATCACAAAAGCCTGAATTTAGCCTGAAACTCTCAGACTGAAGAAGTCTCTTGGAAGAGAGACGAAACGTTTCAGTAGAGAAGAACCTGTCCAGAAGACCTACACAATTTTTTTCTTTTTGATTAGCTAATGTTGAGTCATTTAACATCAATATGTCATTTATGAAAAACATTTGTTTCAGAAGTCTGAAAAAAGAAGATTTTAAACAAAAATGGGCCATCATTTGCCTGGAAGAAGACTTCTACCCTTTTTTATGATCGGTGTCACAGCTGGTAAACTATTAATAATCGGACAGAACATTACTTCAGTATAACCAGATTATTGCTTTAACATGTAAACCATAGGACAATTTTAAGTGTAGTTTGACTACTTTGCAAAATATGAAAAAAGTAAATATGTCCAAAAAAATAGTCAAATGGATGAAGAAGCCAAAAGAAGAAGATTTTATCCTTGGCTGGTCAGACAAGTGTTATTTTTTCTTTTAATCAAGTCTATTGTCTTTCTGATCCAACGGTGCAACAGGCATTCCTAAAAACATAAGGACAAACACACGGAGGACTTGTCTTTGGCAGGGAGACATGGTGGATCACCGAGTGCTCTGTTTGTGTAAGCCCCCTAAAAACCAAGCATGATTCAGACTAACTCTCCCACACACTCTGTTTACACTCACAGAGGTAATATTAATTTCTCATGTCTGTGCAAGCACTGACATGTCATTCAGCATTTTCTGAAAATAAACCAAAGGCCTTGGAGTTGCGTGTATTAATAGGGACAGGAGAAAATATGTGATTTTTTTTCCCCTTTTAAATCTGGCAAAGCTTCACTAAAAAAAGTATTGTAATAGGTCAACTCTATGATGACTGTGAGTCAGAGCATGACCCCAGAGTCACAGTTTCACAGTAACAAGTTTAATGACGTTTAATGAGAAGGTATTTTTGTACATTCTGTAAGATTAAAAAGCGCCCAATGTATTTTTTTTCACAAGTTGGCACTCTGATAGAAAAAAAAAGCAATCCATGACGCTTCGTCCACTGACTTTTTTTTAAACGTCTGCGGCTTCCGATCACTTTTCCACTACCACTTCACCCGGAACTCCCATGTCCAAATACGGACACGAAGAGGGCGGGGCCGGACGATGCCTTATTTGGAGTTTCCACTCAACCGGCTACTTGGGGCTCCAAGTCAAAACAAGCCTGTGCAAAGCTTTGCAATATTTACAAACGATTAACTCCGTCAATTACTGCCTTTGTTTGACAAAGATGCTGCTGGAGAGAGAAAGCAAATAAAAAAAAAAAAAGAGGGGGCTTTGAATCAGAGGTTTGCAGTCCAGGACCGCACAAAGTGTGTGGAAGTTCAGCAAGATGAAGAAGAAAAAAAAGTGGGATTCACAAAGTCCTGTGTGAACTTTTAGAGCAATACCTAATTTTGTTAAAATATGAACTACCACACGTGATATAAAAGTGGCTTAAGTGAAAGACAAAACACTTTATTTTGTTTTAGTCGCGAGCAGAGATGCTTATAGCTCGCTGAGGATAATAAAGATAAAGAGGCCATTTAATCACTTTTCACAAGGACGGGAACAGAGGAGAGCCTCTGGCTGGTCCCCAAGAAGGACGCAGCTGGATGTGACATCTGGATTCCTGTAAACTTTGCTACTATCTCTCTCTCTCTCTCTTTCTGTGTGTGTCGGAGCCTTTTTGCCTCCACTGTAGTTTCCACCGACTGACGCGAGGAGAGCCTGGGGCTGATCGCCCATGTCCATATAAGGTCATCTACGTCACGCAAATGTTCCATCCCCCTATTTAGACTGGAGTCCCCTTTCTCCAGCTCCAATAGAACAAGTAGAGCCGCTCTTGTTCGAGCATCATCTCCTCCTCCGTTGAACTTCACATCCCACCCACCCCATCACAACACAGTGATCAGACCCACAACAACAGTAGCTCGTGCGCGCACAGACAACAGTGGGGTGGAGGAAGAGACCCGGAGCTCCTCGGTCCACCGCGACATCTACTTTGGATAGCTGCAGCCTCCAGGATCCAACCTGCGCCTCATCTCTGCTCCAAGCTGCTGGGTTTTTGTGTTGGATAACCCCCCCAGCGCGCGCTCTGATTTCAACCCCCCCCCCCCCTCCTGCTTCTTGTTTGGTTTGCTTTTAAATGTCGGACTGACTCGAACTGCTATGACAGGGAAACTAGCGGACAAGATCCCTCTTACCATGAGCAGTTTAATAAACACGATCCCTGACAGCCTGTACCCGGAGGAGGACATCCCGACGTCCATGAACATTTTCACCAGTACGGAATCTATTAACCACTACTCGCAGATGAACACGGGTGAGTTTTATTTATTTATTTGTTGTATTTGTTTATTTCTTCCTTTTAGTGGCTCATCAAAGCGCGAAGCGCGCGCCGCCAGGACGGCAACAGTTGTCTCCGGGTTTGGAGGCACCTGTTTGCGCTCTGGCTCTACTGCTCACAAAGACGCGCTCCTTGAGACCCCTCTCCTGCATGAGGGGGTCAGGTGAAGCCCCCCACATCATATCTACATTTTTTAAATAAAACTCGGATATATTCTATTAAAAAAATTGATTTGACTTAATCCGTGCGCGTTGAAATGTCTGAGAGAAACACGCATTTTATTTTAAAGCTCAAAAGCTGATGTGTTTAATTTAAAGACAGTGTGATTTTAATTCTTTAAAAATGATGCGTTTGTAGGGAAATGTTTTGATAAATGTAGATTTGAAATAAATTGCTCTGCGTCCAAAAGCATGTTTCAGCTCCTGGCTGAACTCTCATAGTTTTACTCTACATGTGGTCAAACCACAACGTTTCAGATTTGATATTCTCATACAGAGAGAGGGGGAAAAAAAGAGGGTCATCATCTTAAACAAGGACTTTCATTCACAAGTCTGTTCCCCTGTTTTCAGTAGGAGTGTGTGGGTGAAGTCTTCACATACAGGAACACGTTCAAGCTCCTGCTCCTCTTTAATAAACTGCAAAGACTAATATTGATCAATAAAACGCTCATGTTTTTATAAGACATATTTATTTATTTTTATTATTAATAGTAATATTTTGGGGGGGGGGAGAAATCCGACGCGTAAAAGCGACGCACTGGTTCGGCTCAGAGTCAGAACCGAACCTGAAATAAAATCAGCCTCACTTTGGAAAACTGATGGTCCAACACTGAATTAAATTAATTAAATGCAATATTTTTAAATAGTTGTAATTCCAACAAATATTATAGTGACTTTTCCATTGACTCTAACGCGAGCCATTTATTATTTTTAAATAAAAATTGTTACTATAATTTTAAATAGAATTTATTAGTTAATAACTAAAAGGTTTATCTTGATTTGGTCACACGTATGTGCGTTTGAAGTTTACACACATTCTAATAGGTGTTACAGATAATATCCCCACCCCCTCCCCCTCTCCTGCCAATTGAATCCACGCGGGTCTAAGTTCATAAAATGCGGGATTATTTCATTTTTTTATTATTTATACAAGGAAGAAGTGACATTACATAATTTATTTTTATTTATCTGAAATGTAATGTGAAAAAGTTCACAATGTGTGTGTTTATGGAAAAAAATCTTTATTATAAACTGTTAAATTTGAGTATTTAAGGTCATTTTTATGGATGCTGCATTTGGAGTAAAAAATTAATATTTTACATTTTTTTAATAACAGGTGGAACAAGTGAGCTGATTTACCAAAAGAAAAGAAAAAGGAAAAAAAAAACCAACAATAAAACCTCAAACTTCCTGTTAAAATCCCTTCATTTTAAATGTAAAAGATTCATAGCACATTTTATGAAAATCAATGCAAAAGCTTTTTTTAACATGTGCAAAAATATGTTCCTGAATTTTCTCTGTTAAATTAATTTTCTTTATTTTTTTCTATATATTTTTAGCCTTTTATGCAACCACATTCCAGCAGGCTGTAATAATACATATATTCCTGTAGAATTTCCTGCAAATATTTGTTTAAACCTTTAATTTAGAAATAATGTGTTTTTTTTCCAAATGCCACATATTTATCTTTTTTGAGAACATGTCAGTCACATAAATTAATCCTTATTTGATGTGATTTATTTATGGTATCTTTGAAGGAAGTTCTCAACCTCTAAGATTTGTGCCAATATTTAAAAAAAGAAAATACAGAAAAGGAGGCATTTGAATTTATTTTCCAGATGTTCTGTGTTTCAAAGTGTGCCTTGAGCTCTTGAGCATTTCTGGATTTGTGGCGTCCGCCTCATAATCCTCCCTGCTGTTAAGACATCAAGTCTTGCCACTCCGTTTGGCTGTCCTCCTGAGGGACACAATGACTGGATCAAAGGGGGTGTTTAAGGTCTTGATTTATGAGCGCTTGTGGGATCATGCGAGGGAGAGAGAGACACCACTCTCACAGACGCAGCACTCAGTCACTTAACTTCCAGGTCTGACGGAGCTCACGTTTCTTCATGAACTGTATGGGAGTTTGCTTTTATTTCCCTTTTATTTTGTCTTTTTTTGTTTGTTTTAACTCAAATCGGAGAGGAGTTTGATTTAGGACAATTGCTTCACAATTAAGCTTCAATTAATGTGATAAAGTTATATTTTTCAGCTGTTTTTTAAATTTTTTCCAAGTAAATATTTTTTCTCAGATTCTGCAATGGTTGATTTATTGATTTATTAATGGTTTGTGTTTCTATTTTCTTTGTTCTAGATAATATCATGGATCTGGGCATGGGAGGCGAGAAGGCGAGTTCGGAGATTCAGTATGGATCCAGTTTCCAGTCCAACCGTAGCGGGCAGACCGTCACATATTTGGGGAAGTTTGCCTTTGACACTCCTCCTTCGGGTGGCATTGGTGGCTCTGGCTGGTGCCCCGATAACAACATCATCAGCCTGGTCAGTGCAGGGATTTTAGGCGTGTCTCCGTCACCTGGCACGGTTACGACGCAGACATCATCCTCTGCAGCTGGCATGGGCGGACAGACGTCAGACATGGAGCAGGTGTATGGTCCGCCGCTGCCTGCCTATTCCACCTGCAGCGACCTGTACCAAGACCAGGTCTCCTTTCACCACAGCCCTGCCACCAGCACGGCGCTACCTTACCCCGGCAATGACTATCACTCCACATCCAAAGCTCCCATGGATGGCAGCCTGTTTTCCATGATCCCTGACTACAACCTTTTTCATCATCAGGGGGAGGTTGGTGTGATGGAGCACAAGCCCTTCCAGAGCATGGACCCCATCCGGGTCAACCCTCCACCCATCACACCCCTGGAGACCATCAGAGCTTTTAAGGACAAGCAACAAATCCACCCAGGTTTCATCAGCGGGCAGCAGCACCAGTCCCAGCACCACCAGGCACCTCAGACTCTCACCCTCAAACCCATCCGACCTCGGAAGTACCCCAACCGTCCCAGCAAAACGCCCGTCCACGAGCGGCCGCACGCCTGTCCGGCGGAGAACTGTGACCGGCGCTTCTCGCGCTCGGACGAGCTCACGCGTCACCTGCGCATCCACACGGGTCACAAACCCTTCCAGTGCCGGATATGCATGCGCTCCTTCAGCCGGAGCGACCACCTGACCACGCACATTCGCACGCACACGGGAGAGAAACCCTTCTCCTGCGAGTTCTGTGGACGCAAGTTCGCCAGGAGCGACGAGCGAAAGAGACACGCAAAGGTTCACCTCAAACAGAAAGATAAGAAGCAGGCGGACAAGAGCAGCGGGGCGGCTGGGAGCCACAGCTCACCGCCCAGCTCCTGTGGTGGGGGGCCAGCAGTGGGAACGTCATGACCATCACTACGTGCACATGGACTAGAGCAAAAAGAGACTTGGGGGGGAAAGGATCACGTCCACTATCAGATAAATAGGTGACTCTTTTCTTCTCGTTTACACCCCTGCTCCTTTCAGTTCCTTCTGTTTTGAGATGGATGCCTTTAGTTTGAGTACGAGGGGAAGGGCTGCTTTCCTTTATTTTTTTTCTTTCTTTTCTTTTTTTCTTTTAAGCAATTCAAAGCCTCAGCTACTGCAACACAGTGTCAACACAAAGACGCGTGCTTAAAGCACAAACAACCTCTGTGGTTGGTTCTGAGGTGAACACGTTTATGTAAATTTTACAGAAATGTTCTTAGTCAGAATCCATGATAGGGGTGGGAAAAAAACAGACAAATAATAATAATGGAGCTCAGTGAAAGTGTTAGTTGTCTGGGATGTATGCATTAATTTTATTAGGCTGTTTAAAAGTGCAATTGGTTATTATTGTGTATCGTCATGAATACCTTAATAGTGGCACGTGACTGTCTTTTTGTTGAGGTGTAGTGTTTTTTTCCTTTATTTGAATGTTTTTTTGTTTTGTTTTGTTTTTTAAAGAATGTGCCAAATGTATCTCAGTGATGCAGCCAATCTTGTTCTTATTTTCTTTGCCTGACATTTGCCAATCTCAACAGTGGCGCCAGCTTGTTGGTTAACACACCAGATTTAGATGATCCCGCGCAGTTCGGTTAAAAAATAATGACTGACAGGGTCACACAAAGCATACCGATGTCTTGTCCTGTTACATGTCCACACACGCCTGCAGTAAGTGATGCCTTTGCCAATACTTATTTATTTCAAGTCATTGCGAAACACTGTGTGTTCTCTTTTTTTTTTCATGAGGTGGCTTTACATTGTGTTGCCAAATGTAGTTTGTTTTTTAATATTTGTTTTATTTTTTTCCAAACGATACTGTTCTTTTTTTATGTGATCTGCAATATGCAATCAAATAACATATGCCAACAAACCGTAAATCACATTAACTGGGAGCACAGTTAGACAGACTGAATATTTAATTAAAAAATATAAATAAATAAATCAACACTGGGTTGCAAACAAGCAGTAAGAAAAAGATGAATGAGGTCTCTTTGTCTGTGCTTCTCAGCGTAAAAGGGTTAAACTACCTGGTTTAAGATGCCAAAAGATGAGCAGTAAAGGGTAAGAAAGTAATAATAATATTAATAATAATAATAATAATAATAATAATAATAATAATTATAATTATAATAATAATAATAACAATAAACCTTCCATATCTATGTTTACATCTTTTTTTAATACAGACTGGGCTGTAAAATGAGGTGTTCTTTTTTGTACAGTGATTCAAATGTGTAGCTACGATGAAGAATTCCACTTTTTGTACTCAAGTGTCAAACCCGCCATAATTCAGTATTAAATTGTGCATATATGTGCAATCCGTCCATGCACACTATGTATATACAAATGTTTGCACAAACAAGAACTTGCAACTGACTTGTGCAGATTGTGTCCTAAAGAGTTTCCTAATATTGTTATATTGCAAAAAAAAAATTTTTTTTGTTGTTGTTATAGGTGACTGCAAAAAATACTGTTCATGGATTGCTGCCGTGTAGTGCAAACAATGTTCTAGCTTCCAGTAAAAACAACAAAAACAACAACAAATAAAAGCAGCAAAAACATCTGTGTGCTTTAAAGTGGGTTCAAGGAAGCACTAATGTGTTCTCCGAATAAAAAGCAACATTATTTTGTGCATTTCTTGCATCTGCATTTAAAGAAAAAGAAAAGGTTTTGGATATTTTAATTACCACAACTTCCCCGCTGAAGAAAAAAGCACCAGTTATTTAAAATGTTCTCTAAAATGACTGAAAAAGAAGAAGAAGAAGAAAAAAAACCCAATTCAGAGCATGAAAATAATTTTCACTAATGACTCTTCACTCACCTTATGTATCTTTGTGCTGAAAGAAGGAAATACCAGTTTTATCATTTAGTAATAAAAAATGTGTAGGCTTCTTCTAATGGCTTCACGTAGATCTAAACCTATCGAATATCACAAAAAAACATGCATACAAATTATAAAACTCTTTACAAAAGCATAATTTGCTGTATATTTTTTGGAGAAAGTGAGCATTTTTCTCCACTTACAATACGTTGTGGGTGTGTGCAGCACAGGTGTAACAAGAGAGATAATAAAGTTGCTTTTTCATTTAATATATACACTATTTATGGGTGGTAGCCAAGAAAACTGAAGAGAAATAAGGTAATTAATGAGACTATACGAGGTAGGCGTTTTTGTCAGAATGATGCGAAAAATATTGACGCCAGTCTAAAAGCAGGTAAATACTAATGAAGCAACCACCTTTTGTGTGAAAGGATCCTTTTGAATTAGATCTACTTACTTACTAAATTTACTTCCTCTAAATTTTAAAGAAAACAAATTTAGCAGCTTTTTTAACGGATTTCTCTCAGCTCACTGGTTATACTCCTTGACAGCAGAAAACATGTTGAAACATTGTTAAATGCTGCTGATATATATATATATATATATATATATATATTATGCCCGTCAGCAAATATAACATTTGTGCTAAAACAGGATGTGAATAGACAAAGGCAAAAGGCCAAAGGAAAAGATTCAGACAAGCTGCGCTGTACCGCAGTTCATGCCGAAATGAGCTCCGCAGGGCCACACTTTGTCCTGGAACAGTTTTCACTGCTGAGCCTTCTGGCAAGAATCCATTTATTTTTCCAATTAATTTGGCCTGAGAGAGTCTTTTCTCAACTCATCTGCATGGCTAAATGAACAGACCTCTTTGCACTTGTTTAAAAAAGTTTAAAAGTTCAACTCAGCCCACAATAGTTTTACGTGACACAAATCAAACCTTGTGTCTCGTGAAGGCACGTGGCTCCCCTGCACTGATTTGGTAAATTTTTTTGCACTAACAAAAATAAATGGCGACACAAACGAACACTTTCACTTGACAAAGTTTAAAAGTGAGATCTTAGTTTAGCAGATTGTCTTCCTGATTTATTATCCTAAATAAATACTGCTGCCTTCACTAAGGTTAATTAAGGTTAAGATTAAATGAATAATGGCCTTGAGTGCCAAAATGACACAGAGTCATAACGAAAAGTCATAGGAAAACCAAAACTCTTGTCTTCATATAATTCAAAGTTAGATTGTTTACAATAGAGTTTGGATGAATAAAATTATTTGGAACCCAAAGGTGTGCTCGTCTTTGAAAGAAAAACGTGTTTGTGTCACTTTGTGTTGCAGATGAATCCAAATCTTAAGGTAGACCCTACAACCAAACTACTTCAGCATCCACACAAAGCCCTTACAAGTCTGGAAACTCGCCAGCCCCACTCTGTCTGACACTTTTGTTTTGTGATGTGACTTTTTTTTGTTGTAAATTCTGTAAAATTGATACAATCCCCTGCATATCCACATCCTCAGTGCAGTTGTGCTGCTAGATTACAACCCAGTTTTCACTGCAAACTTCTAAACACTTATTAGTGTGATCGCTGCAAGTATACACCGACGAGCCCCAAGAAAGTCTCCACTCATCTTATGCGCTTTGTGTTCTGTTGGCTGGAAGTAGGCATCTGTAGGTTCTGAATTTGTCTCATGTCCTTTTCTCTGTGTTGGATCTGGGCCAACATCAGCAGCCATTTTTGCACCAAACTGGGTTGCAGGGTTGGCTGATCAAAAACAATACATAACTAGAACTCCACAGGAGCAACGAATCCTAAATGTGACCTCCGCCTGTGTGTATCTGAAGGCAAACTTCTGCTGGTGTTTGTGTGTGACTGTTTGCTTTAGTCTTTGTAGATTCGACCTTGGGCAAGGCAACGGACTTTGGCTCACTTATGGCAATTAACAATAATTGATTTTCTTTCAAACTACACACACAGACGCACACACTCATGATTTCAATAATATGTAGATAATTTAGCCAACTCATGTCATCTTTGGACAACAGGGTGGCTTCAGGGATTTTGTGGTCTTCAACAGTGGCGCTGGTATCAAGACGGAGTCCGATCCTCTCTGTTTTTTCTGTTGTGTTGTGTTTCTTTTCACTAACAGAATATCCTCATTTTTTGCATGTGCACGGACATGTTCCAAAGTGCTGCCCACAGATGCAGTGGGTGGTGCTCCTTTCTTTATTATGCATGAATAAAATAAAATGAAATAAAAGTCTCGTTGAGTGAAATGGGAGAAACTTAACAACAATGCAAGACTTGACAATTGGAAACAAACCGTGGACTAACTGTTCTTTTGGCTTTTTTTTAATCATTTTTTTTCCTGTGTAAGAAAACTATGAGTCTTGTTAAAAATGTCGTGGATGTCTTTTTCTTATTTTATTTGTTTGTTTTTTATTACCTTATAATAAGGTCCTTTTATGATGAGCTGAATATTTAAATGAATTTTACTCTATCCTTGTGATGGGGAGACGTGCTCCTCCGTTTACCTGGCACTTCAGTTTGTTGTAATGCAAATGTTTTGTTATTTCTATGTAAGTACTTGAATAAAGAAAAAATATAACACAACTTGCCTTCAGTCTCTTGGACGTGCTCACTTTCCGGCATCTATAAATATGCATGTCTAAACTATAAATTACTTTGCATAAAAATAGTTTAGCAACAAAATGCTATATTAAATCATCTGTTATTATTAAACCAAAGCGACACTTTTACTTTTTCCATCGTTGTATTTATTTTTTTACAAACAGGAAGTTAGATGCGGTGACTTCCTGTTGACTCGGCGCTGTGGAGTGGCAGCAAGCGATGGTTCTCGGAAGATAATAGAACCACCGAGTGAAACCGGAATAAAACGTACCTCAGAATGAGTTGGTACGTATCTTGGCTATGCTACTTTGATGTATCGATTGGGAATAAGTTCTGAATCGAAACGATTCATTCCAGGAATGTCTTATCCGACCGGGGGCTCCGGCTAGTTCCTGGAATTGCTAAACATTCAGCCTGGAGTTAGCCTTTAGCATTTTCAGCTCCGCGGTTAGCAAATAAACCCTCTCTTCTAAATACATGTACGTGTCGTCTCGACGGGGGACAAGTTTCACAAAGCAGTTATAATAACATTTTGGTATCGAAATGTCAGCCCCTGCTACCTGTCAAACTGAAATAATGAATGTCCGAAGACATCCAACTTGTAAAAAATAGTACAGTATCATTAGCTCATTGGGAGCCATTGTTGGCGTCACCCATATTAAATATTCATTACATCAGACTACTCTTTGAAAATTCCTTACTTTAAAGATATCTAGATAGTAACTGAATACACTTAAGTACACGACTTTGTCTTAAATTTGTACTAGCTGTACTTGTCTTTACTCAAGTCTTATGATTAAGGGAGGTATTTTAATATTATTCAATTCAAGCTGCTAATATTTTTATACTGCATGTAGCTGCTGTAGTTCAGTGTCATGTAAGTCTTGCAAGGTAATTTGTTATGATAGAGTATGATAATCTCAAAACATGTTACTCTGCACTTTAAAGAACTACATTTAAAAAGACCCCTGACTTACTTATTTGACATTGTAGTTGAATAATATATTTCCCACTGCCTTTCATGCTAGTGTTTTCCACTAAGATCATTGAATGTTGAGAAATGACAGTGCTATAGCGACTTTTGCTCAAACCTTGCCTAATCGTATTCATTATTACTCAGAGAATGATTTAAGGATGACTTTTGGCTACTACCACATGAACCTTTATCTCAGTAGTAATAATGTTTGTTAATAATGATTAATCGTGGTGGATGTCTTGAATATGGCTGACTCCAACAGTTAACCATCTGTGGTTTTCCATCCAATCTTTACTTCCATTGATACATTAAGAGTTGAGTAAACTTTCACTGACTGATGCACTGAGTGTAACACAGAAATTGTTAGGTTCCAAAGATAGCAACAAACTTTATATTGTAATGCAAAACCATAGAGCTTTAATATTGGCTAATGTAACGTTATTTCCTAGCTATATGTTACTTTTGAGAGGTGTTTTATAAGACATGAAAAAATGATAAATGTCAAGCTCATGTTTGTTTAGCCATTGGTTTTCCCTAGCAAAGACTTATATAGCTCTTTTCATAATTATTTGCACTCTATGACAGATGCCATAGCTGCTAATTATATATATATATTAGGGGTGTCCCGATACCAGTTTTTTCAAGACTGAGTACAAATACGAGTACTTGAGTTTGGGTACTCGCCGATACCGATACCGATA